CCGTCCTCGTGCCTATGTGTGTCTACACATACGTGCCGATGTGTACGTGCGCTTCGAGACGGGGGGGGGGGAGGGCAGAAGGGGGGTATATTGGATGTGGGTTCGGGGGCGCCGAAATTTCGAATGCGGGCCACGTAGACGCTAAAACGCCCCCATGATTCAATTCGCATCAGCCATCCTCCTTCCTCCTCTTTCCCTCGTCTCTCTTCTTCCCTCCCCCTTCCCTCCCCCCCCGATCCCCCGGCAACCTTAGAGCACATCTTCGGAAAGCTCCAGTGTGTTCCAGCGTTGGCGCGAAGACATTCCCGGAGCGTGTCAACCCGTGCGCTACTTACCGCGATTGTCTGCTCCCTGCCACCCTTCCCTTCCACCCTCGCGGCGAGAATTTTCCTCTTACGGCCCTTTCGCGATGGGGATGCAATTTCTATTTTAGGAGCCGATCGAGTGCATTTAGGCGGCTGCGTCGAAGCCAAGAGCGAGTAAGCGCAAACCCGGAGCGATGGTGGGCGCGAGAGAGGACTCCCTTCGACTCTCGAGGATCGATATTCGGACTCGTAAACTATTGCTGTATCTATACGCGTGCGGCTCCGACACTTTAAAGCTCCTCGAAGAAAAGAAATGAAACTTGGGAGCGAGAATATGCACGCGGACTTGGGCGCGAGGTGACTTGAACTTTTTAATAAAATGTGTACACTACCGCTCAAGAGTATCGCATCGCTTATAGAAATATAAGTTATTATTATAATGATCGAAAAGACATGTATAAATATTATGTCAGATTATATTTTGTTATTGTTTTTTATGCTTTAATATCGTAAAAATTATAAACTATATAATAAATAACAGGAATATTAAATTTAATTTTTGATTGTTTAAAATAGTCTATCATACGGTACATTTGATAACAGTTTTTTTTAAGTTGTTACCGATACTTGATTTCAGCATTTCAGTTTGCAAATATTCTTACAATTATTGAGAAAAATGATAGAGTGGAGAAATGGATAATATATTTATGTCACGTAGTGTTAACATATAAATTATATTAAGAAATATTGGTAATATAACGTATTTCAAACAGTATCAAAACAATTATTATAATAATTTTATATTGCTTAATTAATTTTAGAAATGGAATAACAGATAATATACTTTTACATATTTCATGAACATGAGAAAAACAGTTAAAAGAATAAAAAACTTTATTTACTTGCGCGCATTTTTGTATCTTTAAGATGATGCGGTACTTTTGACCGATACTGTACGTTAAGAAGAAAATCGAAAGTCTTTGTCTTTATCGTCACCCTTATTTGTATCATAAATATTTCGATATCGTAGTCGCAATTTAAAATTCTGTTGGGGTAAAGTGTACTTAGAATAAAGCGACACAATTCTCCAATATTCATTATTGCTTCATTAACTTTGAAGCTTAATTCGTGAAAAGATTTTCATTTTCAACAGCTTTATTGTAATTTAAACACTTAGAGATTTGATTTTCTAGCTAATAAAGTCATCAGGAAAATATTACAAAGAGAATAACGCTATAACATAATTTTCTGGACAATTACTTTTTAATATCACGATTATTTTATAGCTTCATATTTTAATATTATATAGAGATATTTAAGCTTGATAAATACTCAAGATGTAAGAAACTGATATAACGGAATGTTATTTGAAATTATGATTTGAAAATGTAATATTTCATTTACATTACACATTTGATTTTATGACATAAGATGTTATAGTAGAATAAATAAATATAAATATACGAATTCCGACTAATAAAAATTATTAGAAAAATATTACAAAGAGAATAACACACTCTAACATAATTTTCTGAACAGTTATTTTTTAATTTCAACATTTTATGATTTCATATTTTCAATGGAGAGATATTTAATCTTGATAAATAATCAGTTTGTAAAAATTGATGATATCGGAAAGTTATGATTTGAAAAAGCGGAGCTTTATTTGCATTATACTTTAATATTATGACATAGGATGTTATAGTAAAGCAATTAAATGTTAAATGTACGAATTCCAGCTAATAAAAATTATATCAGGAAAATATTACAATAGAATAACTAAGCTATTATACTTAATTTTGTACGCAATTATTTTTTAATACGATTATTTTTTATATATATATGACTTGATATTTTGAATATTATAAATATTTAATTTCTCTTGATAATCTAAATAATCTAAATAATCTAAATAATCAGTTTATAAAAATTTGATATATCGGAAAATTATGATTTGAAAAAGATTTTATTTGAATTTGATGAGTTATGAAGATAGGATACTGTGTGATAAAATAATTGAATGTTAAATATATGAATTGTTCATTCACGTTAAATAGATAAAAATTTAGTACTTTATATAAGTGGTATGGTTAGTTAATTAATTATGGTAAATGATCAATTTGATAATTGAAACTCGATTGAGTCGATAACGACGAAGTTACCGAGATGCGATGTGCAAATTCTATATGCAAATTGAATGTAATTAAACTAATATATGTGGGTCATCAAAATTGGCGAAAGCGTAATATTATTCGCTTGTACATGAGCGAATCACATTTCGGATATTAATGAAAAAATTCCTTTTCGAGATGTACGTTCGTCGAAATACCATACGTGTTTCATTAAACACAAAGAAATCTCTCATTCCCCGATAATGGATATGACACGTGCGCGATATAATGCACACGTGAGAGATTTCCATTCCACTCGAAATAATTACAACAAAGGCGAATATTGTGTACGCGACCATCTTTCGCGTCTTTGCAGAAAATATATTCAAGCTTACCTTATTTTTACGCGAGCAATTTTAACGTTACATTCAATTCGAAATTCTGCGATAAACGACACACACTGCGCTGCTGCGAAACGAATGGATTAGCTTCCATTCTCCGTGTGTATGGTAAAAAAAAGAGAGAAAAAAAAAGAAAGGAGCATACGCGTACGGAATACACGTGCCGGCCGAGTATATGGAACTCATCGTTTCCAAGCTATTTCGCAAGTCCGCCCAATCGTAGAACTATTTTGTTGTACGTGGCTGGATTCAGAATGAAATTTTCCTTACTGCCGGTGCTTGTCAAGACGCCCGAAACTGTTAAGAGGAGGTTACGCGCTAAATCGACGACGGTATTTACGAAAAGAAGCTTTTCGCTGCGAGGAACGCGAATTTCTCGCGCGCGAGAAACTTGGTCGAAATCTTATTGTTAATGCTTTTTCCGGATGCCTTAATATCTTTCAATATTTTCATGATTTTTCAACGTGTGCGTCGCAATTAATCTTGAGTGCGATGCGCAAAATTCAAATTCAGAAATTTGAAATTGATAGAGAATTGCAAGTAGATCGATTGCATATTATATCGAGATTGTAATACCAGTCAGCATATGTTATTTTGGCCGCAAGATAAATATTATTTTTCGCAGAATTCGAGGCAGAACATATTTCAGAGGCAAAAAGCGCGCTGCGCGAATTTTATTCAACAGTGTTGCTGCGAATCTGAAGAATTTTCTTTATGCAACGAACGGGAGAAATTGAGGTGTTGAGTAATAGAAACGCGTAATCCAATTGATTAAAATTATTAAGATAGATGGTGTAAAAAAGCTATTATTTTCTTTATAAAAGTATAATATCTGAAGAATATGTCGTTTGAATTTTATTGAAAAAAATCGCAAAATGATGGTGTTATAAGACTTTGAATAGGGTAGAGTGCATGTCTTGAATTGTGTGTGAACTTGCGAAACTTTAAACGCGTCTTTCTTAAAACATTGTATTTTTAAAAATAGAAAATCTTGAAAATTAATAAATCGAATAATTTCAATTTTTTTAATAAAAGGGAACATTTTTGGGATATTAAATCTAATTAGAATTTAGAAACCTAATATTTAATATTTTTCTTTAAGAATTGAAAAAGTTTCGCAAAATCGAAACGTCTAAATGTTATTTTTTAATTTTTTTTTAGTGAAATTAGAGTATCCCAAAAAACATTCTACGGAATAAAACTCAGATCGAGTTTTTTTAAATTTCTGACAGTTATATGAAGAATAGCATCGAACTATGCATTTTTTAACACGCGAAAAGGTTCATATTGAATAAAAAAAGATCTATATGAATATTAAAGAAAGTACGTAGAAAAAAAATTCAACAAACACACAAGCTGCTTTGCGACAGACGGCTTGTGAAAATTTCCAGATGGCAATTTACAAAAAGAGGAGAAAAAAAGACTCGACGAGACGAGGATGACGGTGATGAGGATGGAGGTCGGAGGTGATACGAATTGATTTATAGGGAGACGAACGAAAGCTCGCCGAGGTCCTGTAAAATGGATGAAACGCAAACTTTTCAACGTGCCAGTGTGAAGAGGACGATTTCTTCTCTCGGGGGGGAGGTGAAGGGGAGCGAGAAGGAGAAGAGAAGGGCGCCTCCGTTTCCGTCCCCTTACGATCGTTCAACCCTTTTGCGCGAACGATAGACTCCCTGAAAAGGGCAACAGTATTTTCTGACTTTCCTTCCTCGCGTTACCTACATATTAAAATCTCGTTAACGCCGTCGCTCAAAATTATCTTACGCCTTCCTTTTTTCTTCTCACCGACTTTGCGTAGCCGCCGGGTAAGCTGTAATTGACGTAACGTGAGAAAACAATACACTAGTATACTTTTCTATTTTTTTTTTTTTACCACGCTTTAACAAGTGTGTGAAATTGGAATATAATTGATTTGTAGGAAAGTAATTATATGTGTGCGTTTATATAATTTTCATGATTATTTCTCTTCAACAATCAACTGTCAAATGATGACTAAAAGTCGCGGAGTCGTTAATCATGTCGCTGAAAAATACGTCGCATCTGAGCAAAAATCTGGGTTAATTCTTTATTAAAAATGCATATACACGTCGTCATGTATATTTCATAAAATTGTTAACGATAATATACATAAAAAGCACGTTTGATTCATTACAACGAGCGATCTTTCTATCAAACTGTAGGACGCCTGAATTTTCCACGTTACATCCTGGTGGATATGTACACGGGACACATATTATACAGGATAACTCGCTGAATACGCTGCTCGATGCGGGCTGCTTGTCAATTGATAAGGACGGCTAATCAAAATTAATGCGGCCATCGTTAACGACGACGATGTCGAACTTGGTCCAAGATCCATTCGTCTCTTTCGAGGAGGATCACGACTTGGCCAGGTTCGGGGCGAAACCCAAGCTGGTCCTACCGCGGGAATATCCGGACGTTTGTCAAACGTTTTCTTGCCTGGACTTGTCGGAATCGGCCCCGACAAATTGGCTGGCATGGCAAAAAGCGAGACCGAGCTTTCGGCGTGTCTGTATATGTATGTCCCACGTTGGCTGTTACGTTAGAGGCAGAATCCCTTTCGAGTTGCTTTTTGCCGGATCCGGCGAACTCTCTCTCGCGGCAGAGAGTTCGCGCGCAAGATTTCTCTATTACGCGTAATGAAACGACGCGGTTACGTCCGAAAACAGGACGACGGGACGGATAATTCATAGCGGCCGCCGAGAACGGACGAGTTCTCGCTGTTTTGATATGGAACGGTGGAAAGCTCGCCGAGTTAAACGCGCAATTATAGCCGCGATTATACTCCATTGTGACGTTAACAAATATTGTGGTAACCTAGTTTTCGCGAAGATATTATAATGATATAATACTATGTTTTTTTTAGAAATCTAGAAGGGTAGAATATCATTTGCTTGAAAATTTTTTTTAATTTTTTAGCTAAAAAAATACATAATTATGTATATCTCGAATTATATAGATTTAGCAAAAGTTTTAAGGACTTTTTAAAACTCTTCTATATTCGTTTATTTAAATTTGTATCTTTTACGTAGCCTCTTTTCGTCTTTAAAGTTTAATCGAACAAAATTTCTGTCCATGCCAACAACCGTAATAGTTGATAAGTATTTTCGGATTTGTCAATTCATGATTAACTTATAATTTAGTTACTAATGAGAGAATACTAACGAGAATACTAACGAGAAATGTTCTTTGAGAAAAGAAAATAAATTTTTTATTGACTTACATATGTATATAGTTTTATATAAGTTTACAAATTATCAAAGAAATATATTACATAATTTATCTCACATTTTAAATTTACAAGATATTAATTAAAGAAATTATTCTATTTAATTTTGAAATATTTTTAGATATATTATTGATATATATAAAGGATATTAATATTTTTATAAAATTTAAAATTATTTAAATAATTTTAAATAAAAACATCTTAATAAAATATCTAAATAAAATGATTAATGGAAGGATTAATAAAAGTGACTGATTACAAATTGAAAAAAATAATATAACTATCTATGTAATATATTTCGAATTATAAATCTATCGGAAGTTTATTAAAGATTTTTTAAATCTCTTCTGTTTGTTTCTTTAAATTTATATCTTTTATTATTATAGCTCTTTCATTTCGCTTTTTAAAGTTTACAATTGCTTTGTAACAGAGCTGATATAAATATTATCGGATTTGTCAGCTTAAGATTAATTTATAATTTAATTATCAATGAAAGATATTCTTCGAGATAAATTTTCTATTGATTTATACATATGATTTTATATAAATTTATAAATTATTGGATTAAATTTATAAAATATGAATTTATTATAGAATACAAAATTAAATTTATAAATTATTTAAATTTAAATTAAATTTATAAGATATTAATTTATTATAGAAATTATATTTAATTTTGAAAAATTTTTAAAACAATTTTTAGATATATATTAAAAGATATAAATATTTTAATAAAATTAAAAATTTTTGTTACTTAAATAACCTCAAGTAAAAGAAAATTTTAATATGCCACAAATTTTAAAAAAGAAAAATAATTTTAACAAACATTCTATTATTATACGTTTAACTTTTAATACTTTTGAAAATTGTTAATCTTCAATACTTTTAAGATTCGCTACTGAGATATTGATGAGGTATGAATAGTTAAGTTTTCGAATCCCCTGATTGTTAGGTATCAATCGGTGTGAGAGTGGGGAAGCCAAACTGAAAGTAGGACGATCTTATGAAAGCGGGGAACTATGCTTATAAAAGTCGACTTCGAACTTTACATTTGAGATCGGTTCGAGTTCGGTTTGACACATCGCAGGAAAGTTATAATTCGGCTTCAATTTGGCACATTTGGCCGAAGAAGAAGTTCGGTACCGAGCTTCTCGGGACACCGCGGAACTTTATATTCACGGTCGATATGAATGAAATATAAGCGTTTATTTCGACGATGTTTGAATTAATAATTTTTTTCGTCCCAGATAAACGACCAATCAAATGTCGGAAAAGTTTACCTATTTCTTTTCTGTTTATATTAAATATGTACGTGTCTAAGAATATAAAGCGATGTAATATTTGTTTAAATACGCTTATGATTAATGAATTTTATTGATAGTTAAAATTTATAATATTAAAAAGCTAATATTATTAAAAAGATTTATGTTATAATTAATTATAATTGTTATTATTAATGTTATAATTAATAATTTTTGATTGATTGAAGTATTCTAATTATGAGATCAACGTTTTGAAAATATTGAAGAGGGCATTTTCTCTCGGACTTTGGAAAAATATCTCAGATAAAAATGATAAAAATGATTTTTTAATAAATTATGAAATTCAATGAAACATAATAACTCATATTCTATATAACTCAATAAAAATATTGATTAAATATTTACAATAATTACATGAGTAATACTTTGATAAGCTCATTATATCTGAGCAATGAGAACGTTTTTGCTGCCGAGAGGCAGGAAATTACTATTTAAATCAAAGTTGAAAATTATAATTCTCACGAAAAAAAATATTTTTATTCAAAAGAGATGCTCATTATCTTTTTTCTGTTTCAAGCTTTATTTAAAGTTTTATAAAATATACGTTTTACACGTATCATCTTTTTCCTAATTAAAAATTCATCACTTCTCGCGCTTCTAATGTCGAATAATCTCTTGAAAGCATCACGGTTGGTACATTTTAACGACGACTTATTCCCGGCCGCTCCATTTATTTTACAACTGCAAATTTATTACGGCTGACAAATTTATTACCGCGGTGACAAATTTCAGAAGTGGGACGATTTTACGCCGTTTGTGCCGAAGATTCGCGTGTCCAGTGCGGTCCTGCGTGGAGAGAAGTCCATGTGTGTACGTCGTGGCGCACGTGCGACGACTGTGAACGTGGACAAGGCTTAATAATGGTGGAAGCTCAGCGGCTTAACATTCCAACGTGACCGCTGGCATACGCGGTTAGCACACCTGAGGGATTTTGAGTTATGGTCGGAAACGACGGCGGTGAGACGGTCAGAGGGATGCAGGGGGTGAACGCAGGTGAAACGAAGGATCGTGGGGAGAGCGGGGAGATAGAGGGGGTGGGATGGCAGGACCGCGCTTAGGGATTGCGGACGAAGGAGCGGGTGGAGAACGTAACGCAGTGACACGCTTTACCGTCCGTGTCACTTGCTAGGTGGCATTAATTATTTCATATCCAGAACTCAATTTCCCGCCAGACCAGAGTCAATTCTGTCCTTCACGGGCTCGCTCAGATTGCGACGCGACATTAACGACGATCAAATTGATTCCCGAATGAAGGAAAAAAAGATTAACATGCGAAAAAGATTAATATAATTGCGATGAATATGCGAATTCAATGTCCGGCGATGTGCGTGGCGGAAAATACATTAGATCTATTAAAAATGTAGACAGCATTGGACACTTAATCCGCCGACGAAATTGAAATCTAGAAGCGGTGTCGTCGAGCTAATTACGTCGGGCGCATCGCCCCATGTATCGGGCGCCGTCGACGAATATTGCAGTCTCGAAGCTATCCGCAATCGGCGACAATTATTGGGTTGATTGTAAGTATCTTCGCGCGTAATTGGACTGCCGGTGAGGCACCGGTCAATTATTGCGGAAAAGACACGATTGAGGTGTCGCGCCGCTTCGAACTTTACGCTCGCGTGTAACTTACGGCAACAAGTAGATTTTATATATATATATATTTCAAGTAGATTTTATATTTATCGAAAAATTACGAATGGCTCAAATTGAGTGAAAACAATAGAGATGTAATTTATCCTTTTATTGAGTTTAACAAAGAATAATTTAGAGAAAAATGTATATAAGTGTGAAGTTAAAAACTGGTCTTCACTCTAGTAACATGAAAAATTAATGAAATTTTTGGAGTTTTAGTATGTTTTATTAATGTTTATATATAAACAGTATAGGTCAGTCTTTTTAAATCTTGGATATTTTAGTTTTTTTTTGCAGGACGAGCTTTTGCGCATAGCGTGTTCAAGAATGCATGATTTGACAAAGTAACAGATTGCTCCTCGTGTAATTATTTGAAATTTAAAAAATCTCGATTTAATTTTACTCCGTAAGATATTTGAAAAATAACGATATAATGTCAGCTTAAAATTAGAAGTTTTAATTTTGCTAAAATTATTTCACTTCTCTCTCTCTTTAAAAAGTTAGGAAAAATATTAGGTTTTAAGTATTAGGTTTTTAAATTCTAATTTATAGGTCGGTTTCCTATCAAAAATACTCTCTTTCATTTAAAAGAAAAATTAAAATATATATAAGCCTAAATAAAGTATATATATTCTCGATAATATATTAATTTTCAAAATATCTATCATATCAATTTTGAAAACAACATTGTAAACGTTGCAGAAAATGGATTTAAATTTCTCAACCCCATCTGAAGACACGTGCGCTATCCTTTTCCTATTAAAGTCTTATAACTTAATTTTGCCAATTTTATTTTTTATATTTCAATAAAATTGTAACCATGTATTCTTTCAGATATACTTTCAGAGAATGTAACAAATCGATTTTTTAAAATAGATTCCAAAATAGACTGGACCCTTCCATTAACTTGGGAAAGAGAAATGCAAGGCAATGATTTAAAAAAAAAATGCTTCTTCTGCGCAATACGATTTCATTATCAGTGAATTAGCTGTATCGTACATTTCA